AAACAAATGCTAATTCGATGATGCCGGCTGGCACACTGATTCACTATGAATGTAGGCCTCACCCCCTAGCGGCAGAAGCTCGTACTACATCCGGTTCGCCCTCTATTGACACAGTCTTGAAACTTTCCGATCGCACCTCGTACGTAGGTAATTCATAATGTTCAGCATGTGGCTATGTAAAACCAAACCCAATTGCAGTAAATAATAATAATTGCATCAGTCTTCAGAAAATATAACAATCCTAGAGAATTTCAGTCATCAAACATGTCTGGTTCCTATCAGCCACACACTTGTTATACTGTTGTGTCTTTGTGTTGTCTTGCTATCACATAAGTTCATAGTACAGCAGAGAATCTTTCAGATTATAAAAATGTCCACACAGTTATGGAAACTGATACTTCACAATGTCAACAAAATTGCACTTCAAGGTGTTAATATTTTTGAGTGTTATGACAGTTGTCGAATCATATCAAAATTTCATTAGATCGGGCAGTTTTAATGACCACTTTCCATCACATCACAAATACTTACAAACAGCGTTGCATAAACTAATTGCAGCTTGCTTTCATAAACATTAACTACTGAGTCGATTTCTGCTCTTTGTGAGTGATCAATCAACGCAAACAAGGTCTGTTGGTAAGCAGGTAGACCTCAGTCTGTTCAAAAACCGCGTGGTAGAAAATTCCAAACTCCATTTGGCGTTTCCTTATATCCCGCCATGGTGAAAGCTGTTTAGTTAGTATTGTAAATTTGTGATATTGCGAAGTTATTGGTGATCTTCAATCTCAAAACGTAACACGTATTAAAGTTATCCCTAACTGTGGTTATAAATTATAAATATGACATCCAATAGTATCGTGCGAAATTTAGTAGTTTTTACGTGTTGCTAACGCAGCTCATTTTTAAATCATGTTTAATTTCTTAATTACATTTCACTGTTATTAGTTTATAATTGATTGTGGTGTGATGTCTGATTCCGTACGTAAACCAATTTGTAATGCTTACCCAGTATATGTTTAAAAAGTTGGAAGTTCCGATTTTGACATTAATGAAAAATATTAACGGAGATTTACGTATAGTATGTTAGGTACGTAACATATGGTTAAAACGGTACAATATTAATATATTTCTTTCAGTTGCGATTATCCACACAACAAGATGTCCTATACCAAAGTACCTCTAGGAAGTCATTCGTGTCAGTATATTCCTAGTCGTGACATAACTGAAGATCAAGAGATCCAAATATTTGTCAAACAGTTGTTAATAAACAGAGTTTTCCAGGGCTACTACGAGGAAAGACGTTTTGTAGAATCTTTGTCATCTTACAGGTAAATGGACGTAGCGACTAATTGTAAACCTTGTTACGCCTAATTTCAAGTATTACTGTTTATGTTTGTGTTACTATTGTATGTTACAAAGACGTAAATTTGTAATACGGCCCTCAATTTCTTTGGGTAAATTCAGTTCATTTGAGTTTGGGCTACAATATTTTAGTGTTGGAGTTCTGGTCCAATATATTGTATCCGAGGCTGCTAGCCAGCCCTTCTTATAGTGTAAGTTGAATTCATATTTCATTCTATTCTGTTTAATTTCTCATAGTTCTTTTGGAAGCCTGCTAGCAGAAAGAAGGTTATTATATTAAGAAATGTGGTTGTAGCTGGGCAGTAAGTAATATGTGGTAATCATCTGTGTTTATGTAAGTTAGTATGGTTAAAAAAATCAGATTAAATTTGGGAAATGCTTATTATTTATTTTGGACCTTTTTATCTTTTTATGTCAGTCTAAAAACCTAGATCAGAATATTTGCAACTCTAATTTCATGTGTAGCTTTATATGGGCCTGTCTCAAAATGAAGAACACAGATTAGTTAGTTTAAGAATGACTTCTAAAGGAGGTATTTTGGCCTTGGAGAAGTGACAACAAAGGACTGAAGAAAATTATGCAGTAAGAAGCTACTTAAATGTTCTGAATTAGCAGTTTTGTTGGGGTGAGTAAATCAAGCATAATTAGATGTTGACTGGATTCAACAGAGGACGAGGTCCAGTGGCAGGATCTTTTGAACATATTGATGAATATTTGTTACATAAAAGCAGTTTTTTTATAAGCTGAGCAACTGTCACTGCTCAAGAAGATTCTGCACTGTGGAGTTCATTAAGTTATATAGATTATTGACTTTTTGTTTAGATTCAAGGTGATTTATCTTAGGTCTAAAAGGTATGAATGAAGTGCAAATTTTGCTGAAGGAATGTCTGATGTGAAATTAATGATAATGTAAAATTTCAGAGGTGTAGTGCTTATTTCTACATTAGAATATGATCTGAAGAAGGATTTGGACACTGTCATTAAGAGGCTTAAGAAGTTCTACAAGTTCTCAAAGGTGTGGGTGGGAATTACAGGTAACAACAAATTCCATTCCACCAGTGCTAGTACCATGCCTTCATTTTAAAAATGGAATCCCAGCACATTGAGTTTGTTAGCAAGGAGAACAGGAAATGCATGTTATAGTTTGGCTCGAGATCCTCAAGAGGAGTCTTCTTGGGTTTCTTGGTATATATGGAACGATAATAAACACAGTTTTAAAGTTCTTATGAGGGTGTGAAATAGTTCAGATATGGTCCAGTATCGGGATTTTGGGAACACAGAAATTAATAATCTAGGATTTAGAAATTTTTGCAATTCAGCCAGAAACAAAATCATCTAACTTAGTTATATTAAGCCTGTACAAAGGTCCAACAGGCAATTTTCAACAATTCCTAAAGGGACTAGATGCTACTCTAAACTATCTGTATAATCCAAAACCTGAATTTTTAGTCTGTGGTGACATGAATATAGACTATCTCAATGCAAAAAGAAAAGAAAAGAAAACATTACTAGTAACATTTCATACATACTGTAAACTTTGAAACAAGAATTCAATATGATTTGAGAACACCAGTTGATAATTCTTTTGTTGATAGTGCAAGACTTAGCTCAACTTCTACTTCTACCATAATAAATGGCCTATCAGACCGTGATGCCCAGTACCTTATGATTAATAATGTTGCTGCAGCTACTAACTTAATACCTTTGAAGCAAAAGAAAAGTAAATAACGAAACAATCATGCAGTTTCAGCTTCTTCTGAAGAATGAAACATGGGGATCTGTTTATAGAGTCAAAGATACCAACAAAAAGTTTAACTCATTTTTGTATACTTTTCTAAATATTTTTGAAGCTAGTTTTCCTATTACATATGAAAGTATAGGCAAAATAAATAATAATTGGATTACACAGGGGATAAAAATATCTTGCAAGTCTGTTTATCTACAGTAGGAACAGTAAAGACCCAAATGCAAGAGCATTTTATATCAAGTATTGTAAAATCCTGAATAATGTTATAAAAGATGCTAAAAAGCAGCATTACAGTAGACTTATAGCAAATTAACCAAAAAATGCATGTTGGAGGAATTTCTTGTGATTTAACAAAAGCTTTTGACTGTGTAAATCATGAAATTTTATTGGGTAAATTAATTGTTATGGGATTCAAGGTATAGCAGCATAATGGTTCAGATCCTATTTAACAGATAGAAAACAAAAGGTCAAAGTAAAAGCTCCTAGAAAACAAATGGAATTTTTTCTCAAACTGGGGAACAATAAAACATGGAATTCCCCAAGGGTCAATTTTAGGGCCCTTGCTTTTTATGATATACATAAATAACCTTCCTCAAAGAATAAAAACAATAAATACTTTAGCAGAACCCATAATATTTGCTGGTGACAGGAGTGTCATAACTTCTAATAACAATTTTGATGATTTCTGTTCAACATCAAACATAGTTCTGTCTCATATGAGTAAATGGTTTAATACTAACAAGTTGGCCCTAAATCTAGATGAAACAAATACAATAAAATTTATAACAAATAACACACCATAATATGCTTTAAATTTGGTTATAATGGAAAGGATATACAAGAGTTAATAAATACAAAATTCCTGTGTTTGCAAATTGGTAATCACCTAAATTTGACAAATCATATTGATAAACTGATACGTAAGTTAAGTGGAGCACGTTATGTAGTTAGATCTCTGTTGCATGTCAGCATCACTGACACACTCTGATCAGTATATTTTGCCTATTTTCACTCCTTAATGAAGTATGGAATAATTTTGTGGGGTAATTCATCAAACAGCAAAAAAATATTCACTCTACAAAAGAAAATTGTCAGATTAATGGCTGGAAACACATTTAGAAGTCTATTTTAGAGATCTTAACTCATCCTTGTGAATACATATTCTCATTAGTGAACTTTATTGTAAATAACCAAGAACTTTTTCAAACTAATTCTGCTGTACACAGTGTCAACACAAGGAATAAAAATCAGCTTCATAGACCGATTGCCAACCTCTCATGTTTTCAGAAGAGTGCATATTATGCAGGGATCAACATTTTCAACAGTCTACCATCAAGTCTCACAAGTCTTGTGAATAAAAAGGCACAATTTATTGTAGCATTAAAAAGATACTTAACTACACACTCCTTTTACTCTGTCCATGAATGTCCATGTTTACAAATAAGTGAAAATTTATCTTTGGTATATAATAGGTAGATTTATTTGTAACTTATCATTACTTTAGGTGAACCATTTGTTGCATATGTTAAATTTATATAATAGTATGAATTGTACTTTATAATATGTATTGTATTATTAGTATGACTTTTTCCACATCCTGATGTCATCTGACTATCTTATGGATCCATGGAATGTAATAAAGATGTATGTATGTAGCCTTCATATTCTATAGAAGCAGGGAATTTTTTGACCAGCTGAGTAAAAATCATCTTCCCAACTATGTCCCTGCCTTATGAATTTAATTATTTTAGTAATAAATGTGTACAGAATTTATGTTGAAGGATCTTACCAGGAATTTCTAGACCAGCTGAATGACTGTCAAGTTGTTGAAAGACTGCTAACACCATGATACTGGTTTCCCATTTCATGCTGTCGCACACAAGTATGAAGCTTCAAGCTGTATACCTTATTTCAGGGCCTGACTTTATTGGAGCTCCACTTCAGCATGCTCTATGGATCAAATTACAGAGCTTGACATTTGGATACTACTGGTTCCAAATCAGACGAGTCAAGTTTGTTGAAAACAGGGAAATGATTCTTCATCTAAAATGTCTGAGGTAAACTACATAACAGTGGTCCTTTTGGGAAGATCCATTACATTGAAATAAGGAACAACTTTTATTATATGTTGGTTATGTACTTGAACAATTTTGTACATGCCCACTTGTTCCATATTTTCTGCCACCAAAATTTTGCACAAAATGTATGTTTTGTTGATGCTTACTAAAGAGCATAATATCTATTAATGAAGTGGAACTAACTTTACCTGCCATTGTATTAACATTATTATGGAAATGTATAACTGTGATCATCTGTGAGGATTTTGTTATGCTGTGACTAGAGCAATGAGAACAATTTTGTACTTTGATTAGTACCACTATGGTTATTGGTTATTGTCCTGGACTGAAAAAGGATGATGGGAGGAGTTAAGGATATTACATTACAAACTTTCGTATTTCAATTTTGTGACTAATTAATGTTGCTTACAGGCATATAGATGTTGGATCGAGAAATGTGAAGATGAGTGAATCGGAGACAGTTGAGAAAGCATTTCAAGGGGCTCCTGAACCTGTTCCACCAAATAATTATATCAGTGTTTGAATGATAAAATTAAATAAAATTTTAGAGGTATTAAGGAAGATATTACAGCAAATATTGCTTCTGTCATGACAGTTGTCGAACCATTTCAATATTTAGTTACATCGGTCAGTTTTAATGACCACTTTATATCACATCATAAATACTTGCAAACTGCGTTGCATAAACTGATTGTAGCTTCCTTTGATAAACATTCGCTACAGTACATTAACTAAAATTATAATTACGATCAAAGATGGTGTCATGCGCAATTTAGTTCAGTTTTCAAGCTCCATTTGGCGTTGCCTTGTATCCCACCACGGAGAAAGCTGTTCGGTTAGAAGTGTAAATTTATGATATTGTGAAGTTATTCGTGTTCTTCATTCTCCAAACGAAACAGGTATTAAAGTTACCCCTAACTGTGGTTTTAAATTACAGATGTTTTGAATATGACATCCATTAGTATCGTGCGAAATTTTGTAGTTTTTACGTGTTGTAAACGCAGCTCATCTTTAATTTCTTAATTACATTTCACTGTTATTAGTTTATAATTGATTGTGGTGTGATGTCTGATTCTGTACGTAAACCAATTTGTAGTGCTTACACAGTATATGTTTAAAAAGTTGGAAGTTCCGATTTTGACATTAATGAAAAATATTAACGGAGATTTACGTATAGTATGTTAGGTACGTAACATATGGTTAAAACGGTACAATATTAATATATTTCTTTCAGTTGCGATTATCCACACAACAAGATGTCCTATACCAAAGTACCTCTAGGAAGTCATTCGTGTCAGTATATTCCTAGTCGTGACATAACTGAAGATCAAGAGATCCAAATATTTGTCAAACAGTTGTTAATAAACAGAGTTTTCCAGGGCTACTACGAGGAAAGACGTTTTGTAGAATCTTTGTCATCTTACAGGTAAATGGACGTAGCGACTAATTGTAAACCTTGTTACGCCTAATTTCAAGTATTACTGTTTATGTTTGTGTTACTATTGTATGTTACAAAGACGTAAATTTGTAATACGGCCCTCAATTTCTTTGGGTAAATTCAGTTCATTTGAGTTTGGGCTACAATATTTTAGTGTTGGAGTTCTGGTCCAATATATTGTATCCGAGGCTGCTAGCCAGCCCTTCTTATAGTGTAAGTTGAATTCATATTTCATTCTATTCTGTTTAATTTCTCATAGTTCTTTTGGAAGCCTGCTAGCAGAAAGAAGGTTATTATATTAAGAAATGTGGTTGTAGCTGGGCAGTAAGTAATATGTGGTAATCATCTGTGTTTATGTAAGTTAGTATGGTTAAAAAAATCAGATTAAATTTGGGAAATGCTTATTATTTATTTTGGACCTTTTTATCTTTTTATGTCAGTCTAAAAACCTAGATCAGAATATTTGCAACTCTAATTTCATGTGTAGCTTTATATGGGCCTGTCTCAAAATGAAGAACACAGATTAGTTAGTTTAAGAATGACTTCTAAAGGAGGTATTTTGGCCTTGGAGAAGTGACAACAAAGGACTGAAGAAAATTATGCAGTAAGAAGCTACTTAAATGTTCTGAATTAGCAGTTTTGTTGGGGTGAGTAAATCAAGCATAATTAGATGTTGACTGGATTCAACAGAGGACGAGGTCCAGTGGCAGGATCTTTTGAACATATTGATGAATATTTGTTACATAAAAGCAGTTTTTTTATAAGCTGAGCAACTGTCACTGCTCAAGAAGATTCTGCACTGTGGAGTTCATTAAGTTATATAGATTATTGACTTTTTGTTTAGATTCAAGGTGATTTATCTTAGGTCTAAAAGGTATGAATGAAGTGCAAATTTTTCTGAAGGAATGTCTGATGTGAAATTAATGATAATGTGATATTTCAGAGATGTAGTGCTTATTTCTACATTAGAATATGATCTGAAGAAGGATTTGGACACTGTCATTAAGAGGCTTGAGAAGTTCTACAAGTTCTCAAAGGTGTGGGTTGGAATTACAGGTAACAACAAATTCCATTCCACCAGTGCCAGTACCATGCCTTCATTTTAAAAATGGAATCCCAGCACATTGAGTTTGTTAGCAAGGAGAACAGGAAATGCATGTTATAGTTTGGCTGGAGATCCTCAAGAGAAGAGTCTTCTTGGGTTTCTTGGTATATATGGAACGATAATAAACACAGTTTTAAAGATCTTATGAGGATGTGAAATGGTTCAGATATGGTCCAGTGTTGTGTTAATATTGAATATTCATATTCTATAGAAGAAGGGAATTTTTTGACCAGCTGAGTAAAAATCATCTTCCCAACTATGTCCCTGCCTTATGAATTTAATTATTTTAGTAATAAATGTGTACAGAATTTATGTTGAAGGATCTTACCAGGAATTTCTAGACCAGCTGAATGACTGTCAAGTTGTTGAAAGACTGCTAACACCATGATACTGGTTTCCCATTTCATGCTGTCGCACACAAGTATGAAGCTTCAAGCTGTATACCTTATTTCAGGGCCTGACTTTATTGGAGCTCCACTTCAGCATGCTCTATGGGTCAAATTACAGAACTTGGCATTTGGACACTACTGGTTCCAAATCAGACGAGTCAAGTTTGTTGAAGGCAGGGAAATGATTATTCATCTAAATTGTTTGAGGTAAACTACATAACAGTGGCCGTTTTAGGAAGATCCATTACATTGAAATAAGGAACAACTTTTATTATATGTTGGTTATGTACTTGAACAATTTTGTACATGCCCACTTGTTCCATATTTTCTGCCACCAAAATTTTGCACAAAATGTATGTTTTGTTGATGCTTACTAAAGAGCATAATATCTATTAATGAAGTGGAACTAACTTTACCTGCCATTGTATTAACATTATTATGGAAATGTATAACTGTGATCATCTGTGAGGATTTTGTTATGCTGTGACTAGAGCAATGAGAACAATTTTGTACTTTGATTAGTACCACTATGGTTATTGGTTATTGTCCTGGACTGAAAAAGGATGATGGGAGGAGTTAAGGATATTACGTTGTAAACTTTCGTATTTCAATTTTGTGACTAATTAATGTTGCTTACAGGCATATAGATGTTGGATCGAGAAATGTGAAGATGAGTGAATCGGAGACAGTTGAGAATGCATTTCAAGGGGCTCCTCAACCTGTTCCAGCAAATAATTATAACAGTGTTATGAATGATAAAATTAAACAAAATTTTAGAGATATTAAGGAAGAAATTACAGCAAATGTTGCTTCTGTCGTGACATTGCATAATATTAAAGGGGCTGTCTGTTTCATGTCTGTGTTTATTGCAGCATGCATAACTGGGTTCTTCCACATTATTGGGTATGTTGGGGATTATACTATAAAGTTTATGAGAGAGTTCTCTATTTTTATACAAGCTTCTACACCTATCTTTCTAGCTATGATAGACTTCTTTAGCAAGTGTGTAGGTGGGTTCTATCTTCTCATTGCCATGTTGTGGAGGGGTTCACATGTTAATGTCCCTCGTTATACAGACTGGAGACCACAGCGAAGAGCTTTACAGATGCCTCCTAACAAGGAGTTTGGCAAAATGAAGTAACTTTTCTTTTGTTGCATTCATTTATAATTTGTATAGAGTATTTTGTTGCAGTGGCACACTGTAATTGAAGCATTTATTTTTGTAGCAAGTAGTGAGAAATTTTATACAAGACTGTCATATAGCTTATGGTTGTGTATACTCTTCTCTCTCTTTAAGATTGTAGTGTATTTACATTTTATGTGCTGAATGTTAAAGACTGATTTGAGGCATCTTGTAATGCATTTACAGAATATATCATTCTTAGTAATGTGGAAACTTTACTTACATTTTTACATCCCTGCTGTAATATCCTGTTGACTGTAATGCTGCATTTGTATCTGAAATAAAACTGTTGAAGCAGCATATTTTTTAAGTTTCCAGTTCCTTCCACTGTGTAAAGTTCGTGATAAGAGATAACAGTGTTTACTTTGCACACTATGAACAGGATATAACAGGGGTGTTCAGAATTCATGCCTATTAGACGTGGCTTGCAGGCCATCATTCCATCCTGTAGCTTATTTAGAATATTACTTTGTGAGGTCCTTACACTGAAATAAACATTTTGAAGTGGCCCGTGCAGGATGCATTTCACAATTTTCAGGAATATAATTTCAATGACGAAGTATTTGTGGGCCTCAAGAGATGCTCCCTATTATTGTTATTTGTAGGGTTGAACAAATTATTTTAAATATTTAACAATTAACTATGTTACAGTAACTACAGTTAATTATGATACATATTGTTTCATATCAATGTGAAACTTAGCTATCTTCACTGCCTTGAGAAACTGTAGTCTCACAGCTTCTGCTTTTGGGAAATATTTATTATATTTAGAACAAACCAGTTTGCAGAAGAAAACATAGAGAAATTATGAAAAGGAATGATGAAATCTGGAATTCATTAAATTTATTATTGGTACTTACCTACTATGTCCTTTAAAGTGCAAAGCCAAGGTTTCACATTACTAGAAGAGGGATTTTGATAAGTTCACACTATGACCACTCTTGAAAATTGGGTAATAATATTGGATAGTTTTGATCCATTGGACACATTTATAACTACATAGGTTATATAACATGGGATGACAGGGCTAGGGAAGAATGTGGAAATACTTTTGGTTTATTTTAAGGCACTAGCCTAGCATACCTGTCAGGATATCTAGTTTCCAAGTCAAACAAAACCTCGGACCTTCAAGTTTTAAACACTAGGCTATGATACTGGGTACCAGAGAAGGTGGACTGTTTGTAACAAGGCCTTCTCACTTCATCTTCATCAAACTGCAAGTGATCCTCTTGTATCTGTGGCCACTCTTTCTGTTCTTTATCCAAAATGCCTTCCCTGACATGGTCTCCCTATTGGTTTATTTTTAAAGCTCTATTGCAGGATCCATGTGTAGAACATTCTTTAGATTGTCTTTAATTTCACCAACTCTTGTATTCTTTCCACCTTAAGATGTTGCGTATGTCCTGTGTTTCAATTTAATCTCTTCTTTAGTAGTACATAGAAACATGAGTTCTAATGCTTGTAACTTGTAATGTTGATATGCTTAAATTGATTCTTTCATCCAGGTTTTATAAATTTGATATTAAACAGTCCTTCACACTGAATATTAAGACCAAATATTACACTTTATGGAACAAGAAGCTTACTGAAAAAAATAATTCTGATGCATCTTAATTCTAAAACCTTGAAGATTAAAACATTTTACCTTTTGTATAGGGTGTGAACGCAATGTAGAAAAAGCATAGATGATGGGTGTCTGATAATGTGCTAAGAAGGTTCTGACAGGAAAAAAGTCACATAATAGTCATACAATTTGTACTCTTAACGTAATATTGTTAGGATTATAATATTACTCATAAAGAGGACTTTTAGCATTTAAAAAGGGATAAGAAATGAATATGAAAATTCTGTTTTAAAAAGAATCTGGCATCTTAATTCATAAGCTATAGCATAGCCATAATTCTACAAAGCACTTCAGTTCTCAGAAACCAAATGACCTTTATTAACCTTTATTGTATAAGCATGGAATGAATATTGAAATAATTGTTATACATGCTCGATTCACTCTAACAAGCAGGAAGTATACAGTGCTATCCATTTATTTACTGAGGACAGCCTATAGTGACATGTGAATTCCCAGAATATAGTGGTAATATATTGTTTTATATACAACAATTCAAATTTTTGCAATTCCCACAACTCCACATGCAGAACGGGCTCCAGCATTTCCTGTAGTTTTGCTTAGTTCATGGCCTCCCTTTCCAAGGTCATCTGGGTCAGCATGAACCTGCAAAATAATATTTGATGGTACAAACCTGATCAGTCATGTAATACAAACTACACAAAATAGTGTTTTCACTCGGTTCATACACAATTTGTGTGGTTGTAGCTCAGTTACTCAAAATTCATCATTCCTTGAAGAAATAGTAACCGTTTACAGGCAACAAATGAGATAATCCACTTAAACAATGATGCCATCCCCTCTGAATGCCTTTGGAGTATGAATGAATCAGTGAAAAGAAAATTCATTTAGCCATTTCTTGAAAGTTAGGTCTACCTACTTTTATATTTTCAACCATGAATGTTTCTTTTATTAAATATCATTATTATGAAAATAATTAAATGGAGATACTACTGTTACAACTAATGATTTTTTGTGTTCTTATTTATCAGAATTACCAAATTTGTTACCAGTGTCAAAATGTATTGAATTTCATAGCAAACAGTATATTCCTAACAATCTGTATGGAACAATTTTTTTCAGAACTGTGAACTTACCACTAGGGTTCTGCCAATAATGTTCTGAGCGCCAGAAAGAGAAATCAATTTGTCAGTAATGTCAACTTTAGCAACTCCATTGCTGCCAGCTTCAATATTTCCCAAATCTCCAACATGTCTGATTTCATCAGTTGGGCTTCCATGATCCTTCTGGTGAGGGTTAAAATGGGCTCCAGCACTTATACAGCCTATAAATCAAATGTCAGTGTGAACTACTAACTCTAGATGCAACATTTTAGTGAACATACTGTTATTTACTTACATCAAAACTTACCATTTGTGTTGTCCCCAAATTCATGGATGTGAAAGCCATGCAAGCCTTGTGATAGGCCAGTCACTTCACCTGTTACTCTTACTGGAGAATCAGGATTCTAAGGGGAAACAGATTAAACATGAATATCCCTTAAGTTTTAACTAGAAAATTTTAAATTCTGGTTATATCTGTTAAGAAAGTAAAATATGTTTTGCAATTGTCTGCATCAATTGGGCTTAACATACAGTATAAAATGTTTTGTCATTTAAAATTAGCAAACTTTATTTGCCAATATGGTCTTTCCCCCAACCCTGACGGCAGAGCCCAATCAAGTATGAAAATTGAAGTGGAATTTACTACTACTTCACACAATTGTTACATAATAAGAAACTTACAACTTGATCGAAAAAGAGTGTTCCCTTCACCACTTCTCCGTTCAGAACACATACAGCTTTCACCGGCATGCTCAAGGAATTCTGTACGCCCTTCCTCCTGATATGACAACTGAATTTTTTGTGTATTGTTACAAAATTGTAACACTATGCAACCCAACTACCGGCTTCTACAATGACCAGCAATTTACTACGACTTGGAAGCAAGATACTTCTTGACCTTTACTGTAATTGGGTGTTAACTGATACATTGAATGTACGTATTGAAGAAGTACGAAACAATGTTTGTTAATTCTTTGGTATCACATGGCCCGCTGTGAACAAATGATATTTAAAATCGTGACGTCGTGGAAATTTAAGAAGGCAGTGATGAAAAGTTTGTTCCAACACATAAAGACATCTAAAGTGTCTTGCAGACTTTGTTATTGTTTGAATATTGTCTGAAATGGCTAATCAAGTGTTACTTGAACTGGAATCAGCAGCACAAATAATGTTGGTGAGAACATTTGTTTTCTTTCCCACAGCGTAAGTTAAGATACAGTAAGGTTAGAACCAAGTTTGCATCTCCCGTCTCCTAGAGGCAATCCATCACTATAATCAGGATGAACAAATCATCTGTGTAAATCAGCCAGCACAATAATATGAACCAATTGTAGAACACTTCAGGAAAATCTGGACTGTGACATGTGAATACCATTAAACAAAATGAAAAACTGTCATATTCCCCTTACTTTCAGTTTTGTATCTGACAAAGTACTAATTCAAATATGGGTAATTTTCCTTGATTGAATATCTATGCGTTGAAACCAAATTACAAATATGACAAAAGATATGGAGGTAATTAATACAATGTAAATATGTACACTCCAGTTTGTGAGAATGATAAGACATGCACACAACATTTTGGTCAGAAAACTTGGGTTAAGCAGAGACCTAAGGATAGGTGGAAATGGAATTAAATTTAAGAAATACAGTGTGAGAGGGTGGACTAAATTTAACTGGCTCAGGTTGAGGTCCATTGAAAGGTTGTTGTGAACCTTCAAGTTCTGTTTCTTGACCAGCAGAGTGACTGTCAGCTTCTGAGCTCTGAACTTAGTTAATTGGTAAGAATCAGGTGAATTTAATTTACAAGAATTGGATAATTGTGAGAGTTACGTAGACTTCTCATATTTATTGCTGAAACTTTTTGCAGGCACCACCATCAGTTGTAACCAGTGACCAGCGCCATTCAGCAGAGGTGATGTTTCTGAATTTTCGCAAAACAAAAAGTCCATATGAATTATGCAGACATATTCTTGGTAATTGGAAACTTTCTTCATAGCAATAGATAGATGTAGATGTAGATGGCTGCTCCATCATCTGGGCTATCACCCTGATGATGGGGGCAGCAAGGACCTCTGAAATATCGGTAAACATCTACCAGACTACATAGCTCAACAACCCAGAAGACAGCCATCTTTAGACTCACTGCCATGAAAACCTCAATTCCTATACAGATGTAGATGTGTCCCACAGATGCATGTGAACAGGATGTGGAGCAAGCCAAAGTACAATACATCACATTCATAAAGTATCTAGAAATACAGTGCAGTTACAGAAACATTACCAAGAATAAAACAGCTAAAATTACAGTACATTTGTAATATATTTATTTTCAAAGTAATATACAAGTGAATAACTACATATGAATTCTATATATGTAGTTTGCTATCCATATATAAGAATGTATATATGTATAGATTAATTTCTATGTAATGAATTTTGTAGTTATGTTTGTATGTGTGTATACAGGAATTAATCTATATGATGTGTGTGTTTCTGCATATGGATAATGAACTGTGTGTGTGGAATGTTATGTAAGGTTATTCACTTGTGTATTTATTTGGTAATAAATATATTGTGTCATGTATTTTTAGCATATGTATGTTATGTTTTAATAATATAATTTAAACAGTGGAGTACAATATTGATGTTGTAGATTGTAATGCTGTGTGGACTCGTAGGACTGAAGATGAAGACACTGTGTGTCTGAAACATTGGTATTTACCTATGAGTCCACATGGTGTTAATCCAGAAAATCATGTCAATGTCTTCATTGCTGTAAAAAAAATTCATATCTTAAAGCAGGGTAACATATTTGGTTCCCAAATGGTAATATCAGTGTCAAGATATTTGGATTGATCCTTAGAAAGTAATGATTTTCTATTTTACACAGTATTTGATTAATTAATGAATATTTATGAGTTATGTATGTGCTGCTGTATTTTTACATGTATACCATAATCTATGAATAAGTTTTCAGTGGAAATGTTCTTTGAATTAGTTACTGTTGTTTCTTGATCACAGTCTTTATAAATACCAACTGGCATTTGACCAAAAGTAATTCCCAAACAGGAAAACTTTACATTACAATGAACATTAACACTTTTTTTTATAATTTTAGATTGGTTTACAGTTGCTAGACCTAACCAGTCATTGTAACTTACTCATCCCTATTAACCTATCACTGAATTGGAATTTATTTGAAGTTAGGTACTAAGCATAACAAAAATAATTCAGCTTTGCCTAATACACATGGTGTTCATATTGTAAAGCTTAATTCTCTTACAATGAGCATACAAAATGCATGGTAAGTAAACAAAATACAAGTGTATTTTCAAAATGGTAATGCATCCTTCAAATATTTTACTCTGCAGAAACCAGTTCAGTACCATATGTTATTTTTGAGGCTGCGGGGCTGCTGAAAGATGCCCTGATAAGGGAGTGGTCACTCCTGCAGGAAACTGACCTGATTTCACTTCGTCAGTATTTGCTGCAGTACATCATGCAGAAACAGTTACAGTCATTTGTTCGAGAGAGAATTTTACAGGTATGATGTTTCATAATCAGGGACTAGTTTAAATTTGATCCACAGTATCTATCAGAAAGAACATTATTAAGCATCTACAACACTATAAAGGTCACAACCCAGAAGACTGCCGATAAACATTTCTACTGTCATGGGAACCTCAGGTCTTGGTTACTGTGTGATTATCCCTCGTGCATCAAATTATTTAGAAGTATCTTGAATAGTTTTGACTTTGTACTGAATACAGTTGAAGCATTTGAAATGCATAGTATAGGCAAGTTAAACTAGCTGAGTCAATGTGGTTTTATTATACCAGGTTCTTATGGTGTAATTTAAACTGTTTTAGGTTATAGCTATAATGGTTAAACGTGGAAGTGTGGAAGATTTTGGGATGCATCGTGGTCAGATATTGACAGAAGTTGAACATCTAATTTTAAGTGGAGACCCATCTAGAGTAAGTTGCCATTTAATTTTATCAGAATAAGATGATTTAAAAAATTACTTTTACTGGTTTAATACAATCTACTATCTTATGCATAAAACTACCAACTTAAATTAGATGAAAAATTGCACAAGGTTCCAAGGTTAACAATTAAATCCTTGTTCTCAGCACATTCTCCATTTAGAATTCATATATGTGAACATCCTCTGATGATAGTGGCAAGGAACCTCAGCCTGAATTGAAGGAAGTATGATTGTTTCATTCATTAACTAATAAAATTAAAAAATGAATTAAAGTCAGTATTAAAGAATGAACAAAGGTCAAACATTTTAGGATATATAAGGTCTTTGGATGCTGATACTGAAAGTATTAACACATTAAATTAACAGTGTTATAAGAAATTTCATCATTCTAAGAGCTGATTTATGATAGTAGATACATGAAAGATATAAATGCTATAAATTACATTTTTCTAAGATAGAAGCTTTTAAATGTAATAGAAAAAAGACAATTGAAATGGATATTGTATTAAAATATGAAAATCACCCATTACTATTCTAACCCAGGTTTCTTTCAATGTATACTGTATTGTATTGGTCTTTCAACATTAATTTTGTACACTTGCAGCAAATCCTTGGATGTAACATTATTTCTGCATTAATGCAAGAATATGCAACAACTGTCAAATCTTCAGATGTTGGTCTCACATGGGAAACACATTTTAAAGCAAAAAAGCAGTTTGAGGTATAGTATTTAGCCAGACATTAATCACAGATTGAAAATATGTCTACCACATAATTTTATGCAATACTGCAGGATATCAGTTATAGCAGTCAAACACCAACTGCAGTTTTGATTGTTTCTGAAGTTATTTAGCAGTGCTGTTTCAGTTGAACACTGGAGTAATTAGTTCTGGTGAGTAAGTAAGGATTTGTATTAAAATTGTCTTACGTGATACTATTCTAAGAAGAGTATTTATTTTTTGTAGGTGACAGATCTGAAGCGGATTTTCCAATTCTGTGTTCAGGCTTTGGGTGAACTGTCAAAGTTGGTTCCTCCTTACTCTGATGAAGTGCTAGCACTCCTGAAACATTTGCTGTCCATTGCAGAGGGTGTTTTGAGTTGGGGGTTCATCTCGGCTAATCATATCCTTTATGGCATACTGAACATTTTATTAATTGTTATGGCCATTTTGTAATCAGTATAGTTTTAGTGATTATGATTTATTTTTAATGACATGCAGGACCCAGAATGAAGGAATTATAGAGTAATTATTCTGTAATCTGTTACATACTGCAATGATTCTACTAGACAGATATGTTACACAGGGTTTACATTGAGACAGAAACCTTGAAGATACACTTACTTGTGACGAACCTGAAATTTAGTGTTTATAAAAATCATTAACTGTTATACTTTTCAGCCTGACTAACTCTTTTAATAATGACAAATAAAAAGTTTTCTCTCAAACTTTTCTGCTCTATACACCGTAACACAACAGAACTGATCAGATAAAATGCATTGTTAGCCGATTCCAACCAGCCAGGTGCTCACTGCAAGTATGAGCCTTAACTGACTGGATAACAATGCTTTTTGATTTTTGGTTTATCACAGAGAGTTACTTCAAGCAACTCAATATCAATCAGTCAAGAACTGCATGGGAAAACAGTGTACTAGTGAGAAGAGTTTGTTTTCATAATAAATTGTTTACAAGAAAACAGAACTTTTAATAATTGTTTAAAGTTCAATCATTTATTGCATAAAAATGTTACTATTGTCCTTTGCAACAATGTTCTGTTGTATTGCTGTAGTAAGTTATTGGCATAACTTCAGAAAAATACATTATAATTATCAGGCAGTATTTGTTGTGTTCAGTCCAGCACTATTTTTGCACTTAGTTCAATACTCTTCACAATTTAAATATGTTGTATTATATTCATTTTTAAAGTAAATAACCACCAAGAAATAGTACAGCCAATACAATCTTATTAAAACACATGGAAATATCTTGCTAGATGGTTGTGTCTTGTCTTCATGTATCTCCCATGGTGTGTTAGTGCTGTGTCCTGAAATTTCTCCCCATGAATGAAGTGCTAAATGATCCTTAATGGAAACCTCACTGCCAAAACGTTTGATTGGAGTGTTTGAAACTGTCTATGAGTCAGACCAGAGCCCTGCATTAAGACTGGGAACCCACTGGAAAGAAGTGATTTTGGGTTCTAATGTTGTCACTCTCTTCTTTACTGTAAGTATGACTTAAATGTAAATTTGTCCCTATATTACACAAATTTAGAGTGTTTTGCAAAAACCAAGTATAGGAAGGTGAACTGTTTAAAGAGAAACCTTACCAGACCTAGGCTAACCATTGTTAATATAACATATTTTTTTCGTAGTTGTACTTGTTGGTTCATTTTCATATCCAAGCATTTACTTTATTTTCAATATGTAATGCATTTGTAACCACATTCTGTTGTACCTACAGATTCACTGGAAAGTTCGTGAAAATCCCCAGTTATGTCACCACTCACTCAATTGCTTGGTGCAGTTAGCGTCACTCAATGGAGCTGTGTTTGAAAATAAAGATGTTCGAGTTCAGTATCTTGCAAATTATATGCAAAGTTTTCTTAATCTTGTCACAAGGTAAGTTTCATGTGTGTTTATGAAGTAGTGCTGATAACCACCTAACTAGCTAATGAACCTACTGCCTTCATGGAGCAGAAACTTTGAGAAATTAATAGTCACTCAGCTAGTCCAGAAATTTCTCCCCAATTATGGAATTGAAAGGTTCATTACTGTGTTTACGATATCTTGTTACTGGACCCAGTCCTGAGTTAGTTTGAATCCTGTCCACATAATACCATCTTTCATCACACAATGCATATACAACTTCCTTTTATTACCCCAAAACTGGTGCATTATTTACAAATTTATGAAAATGTTTTATCTTGGAAATTATTACTTTTATTTACTTGTCAGTATAAATATATGCATTTATGTGATCTGTGTAGGTCTGTATTGGGTTTATTGGTGACAGAAGATGGCATATTTTCTTCCATTTTAGCTGTTCGTAGCTTTATTATTAATCAACCTGTAATATTTCTTTGGCCTGACACAGTATCTCATTTATTGCATTGATATAGTCATTATGTGACATGTAGCATTGACATAATAATTCTTACCAAATATGATGTCTTCCCACTCTCTCCATATCACCATTCACTTTGTATTTTATACTTTCTGCTATCCCATTCAGAATTTGGTGCCATATTTGTCTTTTGTGATCGTACTGTAGCAGAGGGTTGAAAATTAATTTTGGTTTCCAAATTTAATTAAATTAGTTCTTGGAAAAGCAATGTAAACCATTGACACTATCTGCCATGTATCATTCTTACTGCAGTGTGGACATTTTGGACCGACAAGCACTAGGTATATCCAACATCATACGCAAATTGATACTGTTCTTCCCTCCGCCACTGCTGATTACCATGCCTTCTGACTTACTGCAATCCTTTTTTGAGCAGCTGACACAACTGACTTGTAGGTTCTCAGAGGGAGCTGCACAAGAAGAATTGGTGGGTACTTTGAATAATTTTTTTTGTAGTTAAACAAATTACACTGTATTTACTTCATGATACAGTTTTTCAACTTGAGTGTTAAAATTTTAGTGTTAATAAAATGCAGATGATGACATACTCATAGCTAAATGAGAATTTGATGTACAATATTCAGTTTATAATGTTAAATAATAATAATAATAATAGCAGAGAACACTTACATTTTTGTGTTGAGTAGTATACAGCATGAGAAGTAGAGAGGTTGTCAAGGTTTTAGGTAACATAGAACATGGACACATGACTTTGATTAGGAACACGTGCAACAGTGCGGTTCTAGCAAAATTATAACCCATCACAAGATACATATATGAGTATGAAGAAGTTGGGTGAAATGTTTCCACATTGTCTTATCTTATGGTTTTGTGATTTAAACTGGCCACTAAGATTATCTGATTTCTTAGCCCTTGATAGTTTTTTATGGGGTTATCTGAAGAGTTGCATATTAAAGATGCAGCCTGCCGCTTTGGATGAACTTGGGGTGAATATCAGAGAAGTGATTAATGACATGTTAAAATGTGTGATGGATTTCACTAAGCACCTCCAAGAGTGTATATTATTGTAGGTGGGGGTGGGCATTTACTGCATTCTGTTTTCAAAATGTGAATAGTAGAATTGTAGAATAAGGAAACACAAACTTAAGTTGGAGAATTATAGTAATAAGAATAATGATGGAGGAACCCAAATAGTATATGAGGACAAATGGATATCAATCCATAATGTTATATGACTCACAGGTTTAAGAACCAGGGTGATGGAGGGTTTAAAAGTTGCATAATAGAGTGTGTGGGGTTAGTTTCTAGCATGGACAGTACATGTCACTCACACAAATAAAATCAGTGTGTTCTATGATGCTTGCAGTTGTGTGCAGAAGATTGTTTATATATGGAAGCATTTGACAATATGCTTGAAGCATGGATCTCTGTCCTGCTTGACTCCCAGGTCTTTCCTAAAGATTTCTGCAAGCAGTCTTTCATGCAGATTTTCAACACGTACCTCAAATGTCATCTCTCACCGCCAGATGGCACACGAGGGCAGGTAAATAGTGAGCTGTGACATCACAGTTTGTATTTTGTTTGTGATATGTATGGGCCAAAGGGTTTTTGTAACACTATGGTATCCTGTTTGCCATCACTGGGAAAGTTGCAATAGACACAGTTGATGTGATGATTTTGGTTCTTACAGCAAAGAAACAGGCAGTTGATAAATCATTAAATTATACAGTGTAAGTGTTCTTTTAAGTGTCTGCTAACACACAAAATTTCAGGATTGTTAAGTAATTGGCTTTAGTATCATTTATGTCTTAGAAGTTCGCACATCTTCCATGTTCATATTACTGGTGGTAGGAAATTAAAAGGTACAGAAGCACACTAAAATAAGTATTACAAAACTTGGTTGTAAAGATGTGAATATGCCTTCCTTCATCTCATGGGATATCTTAGCTTTTTGTTTGTTTGTTTGTTGTAATTGAGTGTCTGCTTTAAACTGAATCAGATGCAGTCTGGTTTTACTCTCTGTTATTTTATCTTCAGGGTCGAGAATTGGATATAGAAGAAATATATGACACTGAAGAGGATGACAGAACAAAGTTTAAGGATCAGTTGCAGACGATTGGTTCATTTGGGAGACAGGTATGTAAAGGCAGAACCAGGATATTTGTAATCTTCATTGTAGTTCAAAATCAGTGGTGTAGAGTCAGTATTGAGAAGTTTTTCTTTCTCAGTTGGTCACAAACCTTATCCTGAGGGTTCATTACTGTGTTCACAAGAGGGTGCCATTGAATCGAGTCCACACTTGCTCAAATTGATTGTTTCATTATTTGGTCTTAATGAAACATGACTTATCTTAGTCAGTTGATTGAAACTGTGTAAAACAAGAGGACAGTAGAATATTGCATTTGTGCTACTAGTCAAGGACACATAAAATCTTGTATTT